AGAGAGAGAGAGAGAGAGAGAGAGAGAGAGAGAGAGAAGTATCTGTGGATACAACTAGAAACCTACAAAGACATTAAACCCAATAACTATGAATTCTTGGATTACTTACTTCTGTCCTAAAATATACGTATGCAATTTCATATTAAGGTTTAATGAGGAACAGTAGCACATAACACAAGAATTTCAAAGAAAGTATTGAGAAATCTATCACACAACTGAGTAACAATCTTTACTATGGTTCAACACTTTCTGGGCCTCTACAAGCTAGAAATCCTGTACATCAGCCCAAGCATAGAGGTCAGCACCTTTTGGCCAAGGCCATCACTACTAGGATAGCAACCCCAAGGTCCCCCCTGCTTCTGGAAAGAAAACCCTCTTGGGACAAGGGTCCTGCTCACCTGGTGTTGCGCCTCCTCCAGGTTCCCACTGGCCCAAAGGGAGAGGCCAAGGCCGTGGCGGATTTTGGCTTCATCTTCTCTTCGGCCCAGTTGCTCAGCTAACCTTAAACCTGAAATCAGATAGCGAAATTTTAAGGACACATAGAAGGTAGACAATTCCATTTGCCAAGGAGTCTTGGAGGGTAATTCTGTCTCAGGCATATATAAAAAATGTTCACATAGCCAAGGCAGAGTACACATGCTCTTCAAACTCTGTGTTGGTAACCACCTTCCCAGGACACCCCCAGATGCCCCAGCAAGAGCTCAGGTGATAGGCTGTCAGCAGGAGACAGGTTTGCATGGCAGCCACACACACTGGAACCTCCCCACCACCCTCCCAGATGTGAAATCCCTGGCTTTGCAAGTGAAAACTCCAGGCCTATAAATTGATCTATCTACCCCAACTCTTTGGCCAGCAAAAGCTTTTCCTGACAGTTCCGTAGTCAAGCACAGAAGCCAAGCTGATAACTTTTTCCGATCGCACGTGCACAGCATCGAGCCAATGTTGGCGGGAGACACATCTGATGTCCTCCAGGATGCAGGATGCTCACGCTGCCTGACCCTGCCTCCTGCTACTGATGCTACCGACACATTTCATGTCTGATCTGTTTTTCCTTGAAGCTGAGATTGTGATGTGCCTCAGCGGGGTTGCAGAACTAGGGCTATTATGAGTCGAAAGCCTTAAATGAGACTGTCCTCATTCTAATGGCTTTCAGGTAGACACCTGCAGTTCGGGTCACTTACCTACAGTAAGCGTCTGGATTTCAGGACACTGGCAACCTCCGGGGCTTTGTGGGAGCCAAACAGGAGGGCGAGCATTTATTGTACTGGCCACTAAGCAGTTCTCAGCATCCCTTTGCCCTCATTATCCTGCTCTCTGTACACAGGAGTTAGCTTGTGCGGAAGACAGCGTGAAGGCCCCCACACTACAAGTGCGCACACAGAGGAAGGACTTCTTTTTCTAATCTAATTATGGGTGGAGGGGAGCCTGCTTCTGAGCATGCTGGGCCCCTGCAATTTCAGACTTTTGAAAAGGAACTAAGCTGGTTGAGAGGCTAATAAAAGTGATACTCAGGCTTAAGCTCATAAAATATTACACATTTCAAAATGCACATAACTCAGAAAACTTCAAAATAGCATTACAGGCTTAAATCATGTCACTGGGTAACAAAAAGAATACTTCCAAGTTATTCATATTTTAAAATCCCTCACAGAATCGGAATGCAAATGAAAGAAGATTGTTCTTAGGTGAAAACAAGGATACTGGTTGTTTTAACCTTCAGCAAGCTAACCGTATTCATTCTGCAATGTGGCGATCCCTGCCAAGTCTGGGCCTATGAGGTAAATAAAAATCATTGAAGTAGCCCCCCTGGAAAGAATATTCTGCGTGAGCAGGGACTTTGCTCCCTGCTGGATCTCCAGCATGTAGGACCCTCCCTGGCCCACAGTCAGAGGTTCCACAATGAAGAGCTCAAAGCCCATTGGACAGACATGGTGTCTGTCCCGCACGCTTTCCATCTGCTTCTGCCTCTTAGGAATCTGACCCACCCATCCAGCTCTCTTGGAGCTGGTTTGCTAGGAGTTAGCTGTGTAACTCCAGGTAAGTCACTAAATTACTCCAGACTCCCTTTGTTCATTTGCAAAAGAATGAAAACGCTGGATGC